GCGGTCAGCTCACGGCAGATGCGTAGGTCCCAGAGGAGCCCAAGGGAGAGAGCTGAAGGCACGGCGGTGCCACCGTTGTCGTGGATGCCGAGTGACTGACCTTTGCACTCACATTCTTGGCCGCCTTCTTGCAGCCACCTCCCAGAAGCCTGGCGTCTGTCCCTGTGGTCTCTGGCGACCCCTGTTGAGAGGAAACAGGTTACTCCCGAGCACTGGAAAGGGAAAGGGGCTGACAGAAAAGGTCTGCTGATGGCGCTAGTTCTGTTTCACCTGCTCTTTTACTTGGAGGATCTAGGGTATTTCTGGAGAGAAGCATTTTAAATGGATAAGGAGTTGAGGTTTAAAATTTAGCCTAGAGGAGGGCGGGGGATTTAGCTCAGCGGCTCTGCCGCCTGCCTTGCAAGCACAAGTTCCTGAATTCAATCCCTGGTACACCCCCACCCCCAATACTTAGCCTAGAGGAAAGCTTAGCTGAAGGTAGGAGAAGAAAGAATGTCTTCTGGATGGAAGAAAGGATACAAGGTGGGGGTTTACCAAGACTGTAACCTTTCCGCCCGTGCCCTACGGTAAAATATTTATGACGTAAGGAGTGGTAGCAAGAAGCATATTATTCCACAAATCAAGATTTCCACCGGACCTCCAAGTTGCTATAGTTGAACCCACAATCCCTAAAGGGAGGGCAGGGGTAAGGGGAAAAATGAGAATCAAGACTTGTCATGTAGAGGTGCGAGATCCCAACAATGAATGTAATTGTACTGTAGTCCTAAAATGCACCAATAAACTCAATTAAAGCTGAAAAAAAAATCCCTGTTCAACTTTATCAGGATGTCATTTATGTTTCTTCCTTGGGAAGAAATACATTCTTTTTTGGCCTTTACTCAAGCCTAGTTTACTGTGATGCCTAAAAGATTGTTTTTGGATCTCACTGTATTGCTTAGGCTGTCCTCGAACTCCTAGGCTCTAGCAGTCCTCCTGCTCCAACCTCCCAAGTAGCTGGGACTACAGGTGGCCGCCGCTGCACCTGACTGTAAAATATTTTCATGACAATCAAGGGTGACAGCATAGAGATGTGAGGTTCTCACTAAAACTGGGCACACATGACACCTCTGTAGTAGTTTCTGATATTTCCTATCGTGATCGATTGTTCCTTTCACATGGTTCCCATTGTATTTGAATATAGCTCAAACTTCCTCCAACTATAGTTTGTTTGAAATCGATTATAGAGTAGACCATGTCCGCCAAGGTTCACATGTTAAAGCTTCCAACTTCCAACCCCTCAGAATGACTGTATTGGGAGACAGGGTGATTAAGATGTGATTAAGTTAAATTGGGGCTGCTGTGGTGGGCCCCACTCCTATCTGACTGATGTCCTTAAGAGAAGACGAGATTTGGACACACAGAAAAGTCCCTCTTTACTTATATTTTGGGTTTCTCGTATTTAAGCTTGTGTGTCTGTTTCATTGCATTTAACATTACGGTCTTACAGTTCATCCATTTCCTTACAAATGACTTATACCTGTCCTTCTTTACGGCACAGTACTATTCCACTTGTGTAAAATACCACATTTTCTTTGTCTACTCATCTGTTGATGGACATATAGGCCCTAAGATTTCACTATTATTTTTTGAACACGGGTCCTTGCGAGTGTGAGGCAGGCAGCGGAACCACTGAGCTAAATCCCTGGCACAGATTTTGCTATTATGAATTGTGCTGCTATCAATATGGGTATACCTATAACACTGTAGTATGACATCTTTAACATTTTCAGGAAGGTCCTTGGAAAATCTATTTTTCATTTTTGAGACTTCTCCATACTGAATTCCACATGGCAGTGATTCCTTACATCTCCACCAGCGATGCAGAAAGTTTTCTTCCCCCTTGAAACTTTAACAGCATTCATTATTATTTGATGTTTTGGTAATAGGCATTCTTTATGGATTAAGATGGACTATTAGTATTCCTTTAATTTTTTTTTTGTTTGTTTGTACCGAGGATCGAACTCAGGCCCTTGTGCTTGCAAGGCAGGCAGCAGAACCACTGAGCCAAACCCCTGGCCCTAATTTGTATTTCTTGAATGGCCCGAGATGCTGAAATTTTAAAAATGTATTTATTGGTCATTTGTACTTCTGAAAAGTATCTGTTCGTTTAAGTTGCCCATTTTTTGATTGGGTCTTTTAACTTGGGGAGTGTCTAATTTTTTTGTTGTTGTTGTTTGTTTGTTTGTTTGAGACAGGGTCTCACTGTGTAGTTGAGACTGAACTGGAACTCACTTATGTAGCCCAGGCTGGTCTCAGACTCACAGCGATCCTTCTGCCTCAGCCTCCTGAGTGCTGGGGTTACAGGCATGAGCCACCACGCCTGGCTCTAATTTATTTTAGGATGTTTTTTGAGACAGGATCTTGCCATGTAGTTCAGGCTAGCTCAAACTCACAGTGATTCTCCTGCCTCATCCTCCAAGCATCTGGATTACAGACCTGTGCCACCATGTTCAGCTGATGAGGTGGGGCATCTGATTTTTTTGAGTTCTTTATGTATTTTAGCTATTAGTCCTCTGCCCAAGGAATAACTGGCAAAAATCTTTCCCTCATTCTGTAGGTTGTCTTTTCACTCTTGGTTGTTTCATGTGCTGTGCAGAAGCTTTTTAGTTTAATATAATCCCATTTGTTGACATTACTCCTTGAGCAATCCGGGTTCTATTTAAGAAAATCCTTGCCTACACCTGTGTCTTCAAGAGTTTTACCTATTTTATCTTCCAGCAGCATACATGTTTCTGTTTTAAAACTTAGATTATCGATCCATTTTGATTTTAGTTAAGTGCATGGTGAGAGACATGGCTCTAGATTTACTCTTGTGCATGGGGATGGCCAGTTTTCCCAGCACCACGTGATAAAAAGGCTGCCTTTCCTCCAGTGTATGTTTTTGGCTCCTTTGTCATAAGTCAGATGGCTGGATGTGCCCGGAGTTGTTTCTGAATCCTCTGTGCTGTCTTGTTGATCCACTGGTGTGCTTTTGTGCAGTATCATGTTGAAATCTTAACTCTCGATGTGATGGTATTAGGAAAGGGGTCTTTGGGGGACCATTGGGTTGTGAAGGTGGAGCCCTCATTACTGGGATTAGTGCCCTAATCAAGGGACCCCAGAGAGAGCCCTCCCGCCAGGTCAAAATACAAGAAGCTGGCTGTGTTCAGGCTGCAAGAGACTTCTTGCTCTGAGCTCAGAAATCCTGCCTCCAGAGTTATGGGAAATACATTTTTGTTGTTCATAAGCTACTGTCTGTGGCGCTTTGTAATATCAGCCCAAACAAAGACAGCAGCTATTTGCAGACCATGGACATAGGCCCCCACACCTGCATGCTGGCACACCTGCCGACCCCTTAGATGTTCAGCCTCCAGAACCCTGAGAAAATAAATTTCTGCGGCTTAAGCCATCCAGTCTCAGCTATTCTCTTAGGACTGTTCTAGGAAACTCAGGAGAAGTCTTTCTCCTTCAGAACAGTAGAATGAATTGTGTAGTCCTCATTCAGCTACAAAGCTCCTGGTGCTTGATGGGTATTTGGCAAATATTTGCTCAATAAGTAGACAAACAAGTTATTTGGAGCAGGCCCTTATGGGTCATGTGGCCTGGTTTCCCAGACTTGTGCCCTTTATGCCACTCAGATGCAGGGTGTTGCTTCCTCTCTCCAAGGGTGAATATCCAGATGTTCTCTGTGCTGTTTTGAGAGCTGTTAAAATATTTTAAACAAGTGGAGCCCGTGCCACCGGAATTTTTCTAATATTTTACTCTTATGTGACCTCTCCTCCTTGTTCCAGAAAAAAAAGCACCACAAAATATTAGGGTGAAAAGCAAACTTGGAGATTACTTAATTGAATGTCTTGAGAAAGTTTTTCATTCTAAGTGTAATACAAATATTCTAGAGAAATTCTTAGACCAGGGATTTAGCTCAGTGGTTCCACTGCCTGCCTCGCAAGTGCAAGGACCCGAGTTTGATCCCCAGTACCCCACCAAAAAAAAGAAAAAAAAAGAAAATCTTGAAGGTACAGTAAATAACACATTATTCTTACTAACTCTTGGTATTTTGGTATACTTGTGTATTCTTTTTATATAGTGATAATCACAGTATGTGAACAAACTTATGCACTTTTTCCTCACTTCACAAAGCATGTTACTATATCATTTTCATCATAGACTTTTTTTTCAGTACCCAGGACTTTTGCACTGACCTACATTCCCAACCCTTTGTTAGTTTTTTAAAAATTTGAGATAGGGTGTTCCTAAAATGCTAAGTTACTCACAATGGGCTTGAACCTGTGATCCTTCTGTCTCAGCCTCCCAGAGGGCCGGATTACAGATGTGTGCCTCCATGCCTGACCATAACAGGTATTTTTAACGACTGTATAGTACTCCCAGTAAATATGTTCTAAATTATCTAAGAGTTTTCCTATTGCTGGATATTTGAATATTTTTAGATATTGATGAAGTTCTTTGTTATGTAGCTGTCTTCGAAATTTTGTGATTTTCTTGGAAAATAGAATTACTGGTCAGAAGTTAAGAATAGTTTTTTTTATGTTTATTGATCTTATCAAATTGCTTTCAAAAGGGCAGTATCAGTTGATTAAATCTCTACCTCCTTTATTTTCAGTTGAGGAAACTGAGGCCCAGAGAGGACAAATGAAATGCCCAAGTTCACTAAGGTTGTGGTGATAATCTAAGAATAAAACCCAAATCCAAGATTCTTAGTATTCCTTTAATTTTTTTTTTGTTTGTTTGTACCGAGGATCGAACTCAGGCCCTTGTGCTTGCAAGGCAGGCAGCAGAACCACTGAGCCAAACCCCTGGCCCTAATTTGTATTTCTTGAATGGCCCGAGATGCTGAAATTTTAAAAATGTATTTATTGGTCATTTGTACTTCTGAAAAGTATCTGTTCGTTTAAGTTGCCCATTTTTTGATTGGGTCTTTTAACTTGGGGAGTGTCTAATTTTTTTGTTGTTGTTGTTTGTTTGTTTGTTTGAGACAGGGTCTCACTGTGTAGTTGAGACTGAACTGGAACTCACTTATGTAGCCCAGGCTGGTCTCAGACTCACAGCGATCCTTCTGCCTCAGCCTCCTGAGTGCTGGGGTTACAGGCATGAGCCACCACGCCTGGCTCTAATTTATTTTAGGATGTTTTTTGAGACAGGATC